AATAAATTCTGTTTTCATGGATGCCTGGATGTTAAACTTAATTGTTACACCTGGTAAAGCAGCAAAACTGATAATTTTATCAAAGGTGAAAATTTTTAGTTTTTAAATCTCAGTGATGCCGCAGTGTTCGTTTGACTTTGGGACCTGAAGCGGACGGAGTTTGGACCCAGATTACTCCGCCAGGCTCCTGACTACGGTAGCCGTAATGCTCTGATAATGCATCAAGTGGTGCGGCTTCATAGCTTACCAACGTTGTACTAAAACATTATTTGACAGATTTTTGAGCACCGTGTACCACATAAAATTGGTCTGAGGTCAGTAAGCAAAACCAGAATTCATAAATAAGGCGCACTGTCGATTTTTGAGAAAATGAAAGGATTTTAAGTGTGCCTCATAGTCTGAAAAATACGGTACTAGACTGCTTCAGATACAGGTGTGATAAATTCTGGCAAATAAAATCTACACTCACTGTTTCAGTAAATTAGTATTTGTTTATTTAATGGTTTAAATACGGGGTGGCTGTAGTTCAGGAGTTAGGTCATGGTTTGATTTCTTGCCGCTTCAGTCTGCACACCAAATGTCCTTGGGCAAGATACTAACCCCAAGTTGCTCTCTGATCTGTCCACTGGCGTATGAATGTGTGTGAATGTTAGATAGAAAGCACTTACATGGTAAAAAGTGCTATATAAGAACCAGCCCATTTACCCTCCAAACATGACTTTGTCCCCACTGCTGGTGTTGTATGTGAAAATGTTTTGACATAGGCTGAATAGTATATATTTTTTCTTTTTTTTAAAAATTTGTGTTTCTTGACATGAAAGAATACATCTACACAATAAAAGCAGTAGTTTGCCTTACCCAGGTCTTTACCAAATCCGGACTGCTTGAAGCCTCCGAAGGGCGCAGCGACGTCGGTCTTGTTGTAGGTGTTGACGAAAACTGTGCCGGCATTGAGCCTTTCACTGACATACAGTGCTTTGCTGATGTCCCGTGTGAAAACACCTGATGCCAGGCCATACTCTGTAGCATTGGCCCTCCTCAGGACGTCATCCACTTCACTGAATTCAGGAAGATGGAGGAGGCACACCGGACCAACACAACAATGAAGACACAAAAGGTCAGTCTTATGTTGGGTATATGAAGCAAGCTGGCATTTGAGCAATCATTCAATTTTAACTAACCCGCTCTTAAACTTGGAGATGATCATAACAGGGCCGAAAGACTCCTCTTTAGCAATGAACATGTGGTCCTGCACATCAGTAAACACTGTGGGTTCAAAGAAGAAACCTGGAGGGAAAACAAACATCCAACGGCATCTGTTATATCATAGTTAGTCCATCCTAACCAGTTCTGTTTAGAAACTTCTGCTGCCTTACCTGGTCGTTGTACCTGTCTGCCACCACAGACCAGGGTGGCTCCCTCCTTGACGCCAGTCTGACAATATTCCACCAGTTTGTCCAGGTGGGCCTTGTGGTTCTGAGGTCCATGGTCTGTTGAGCGGTCCAGTGGATCACCAATCTTCATCTTTTTGACTTCCTCAACCTAAGATAAGAGAGATCCAAGTGGTCTTTAAAGAAGTGCACATGTGGGGTTTGTGAGAAAGGATTCAGGCAGAGAAGTAATCTAATTACTCACATGAGACAGCATACGGGAGAGAAACCTTACCGCTGCGGCTCAATTTGCATACTAGAAGGACATGCTGAGACACACGCAGATCCACACAAAGGCGTGTAACTGCTCAACCTGCTCAGTGTGCTCATTTCTAAGACTTAGAGCATGTGTTTCAGTTTCATTACTACCACCGACAGTGCGTTACTGGCCTTGCTCTTTCAACACATGTGAAAAAGGTTTGAGATTATTTGACTGAAAACAGTAACTAGCTGATAAAGTTAAGTGAAAGACATATAGTTTGGTGAGAAACACCTCAGCACAATAGCAAAATGGCATTAGTCAGCGATAGGGCTGCCACAAACGATTATTTTGATAGTCGACTAGTCACCGATTATTTATGCGATTAGTCGACTAATCAGATCATCATCCACTGGACGTAAAACGTACAGCTTATTGCACCAGCATCCAGCTGCTCTTATATAACTATCATTAGCTTACAGCTTGAAGTGTTTAAGGTATGTGCTAACTAAAAATAAAGACAAGATGGTAGTTTATTAAATTTTAATGACATCTGCAGATTGTTTCGGTGAAGTTTAATAAACTCAGCAGTCTGCTCCTTGCTATCTAAAATATAACAGGACACCGGAGTAAATTCTCGAGCATCTCACACTTCTGATAATCAGCTGTCTGCTTGGTTTATTCAGCTGCGTAAGAACTGTAACTTTAATCTCAGCCAAACCGATTTACTCAGGAACAAATAAAATACTAAAAAAAGCCAAACAATAACATTTTTAAGTTATCTAAGTGACTCATATATGTTTAACCTGAGTAGTGAAAGACGGCGGTGGGTTTGAAAACGATTTGCAGGGAGTCCGGTGTTCTCACCGGCTCCAGTGAGCCTTGCCCCCGGCTAGCTATCGAGCTGGTGGGTAACAGACGTCTCCGAAAACGTCGGAGCGCTTTTGAAAATATGCGGTGTCCTGATAAACTGAGCAGATATTTGAGGTTTACACAGCTACATTCTCACCTGAAAATATGTTAAACGTTTATTTTGTGACCCAGAAAGAATAATAAGAGTAATATTAAAACTAACTAGCTGCCGCCATTATTGACAACTGCGCTGGGCTGCGCTATGAATTATGGGACACTGCTTCTTCTTCGGGGTTTAACGGCAACTGGTATCCTTGTCCATGCAGTGCTGCCATCTTCTGTTTCAGTCCGTTATTACACTCTTAAATCCTGCTACTTATTCCTGCGTCTTTTGTGATCTTACAAAGCTTCAAACGACGCGTCGACTATTAAATTAGTCGTCGACGATTTTAATAGTCGACATAATCGTGACTAGTCGACTAATCATGGCAGCTCTAGTCAGCGAGCCATCAGCCTATTACGTCTGAAGGTGAGAGACTGATTTTTAAGGTGGAATGAAAACACAACATGACATTTTCACTGTAAAAAAGGAAAAAAAAGTCAAAGTAAAGTTTACTGCGGGTTACACCTACCACTTTTTGTACAAACAGGTCATGAATGGAGTCTTCCACAAACAGTCTGCCAGCAGCGATGCAGTTCTCTCCCTTGTTAAAGAACACTGAGCTCATGCCCTGAAACATACAGACAACAACATAGTGGATGCACAACTTTTTACTCTGTTTTGGAAAAAACACAAAAACCTGCCATAAGATAAACACACCATGCGCACGGCCTTGTCCATCTCGCAGTCACTGAAGATGATAAGTGGTGATTTTCCTCCAAGCTCCAGAGAGACTTTCTTTACATTGCTGACTGCACAGCTTCAAATATACAAGAAAACAGACACGCAACTGTGAGCGAAACTATAAGACTTTGTTAAACACCTTGTGTAAGGTTTATGTTACCTCTCACCTCTTCATGATGTGTTTACCAATCTCTGTGGAACCTGTGAAGCCAAGTTTCCGGACGTCGGGATGGTCGGAGAGACGCTGACCCACCAGGGCACCTAGAATAAAGAACAAGATGCATAGCAACTCACGGAGCTTCATTAGGTGACCTCAGCTTCATGTCATGAATGTTTATGATCCAACCTGATCCAGGCAGAATGTTAATCACTCCTTTAGGCAGTCCCGCTCTTGCTGCCAGTTCAGCAAACTTCAGTGCTGTCAGTGGGGTGACCTGAAAACAAACAACAACATGAATGACCCTGTGGTTTTAGCTTTTGTGGGTAGCATGTGTGACATGGGAGTCTGACCTGTGCAGGTTTGAGGACCACTGTGTTTCCAGCTGCCAGGCAGGCTGCTGTCTTCCAGGCCAGCATCATTAGAGGGTAGTTCCAAGGAATCACAATGGCACAAACTCTGAGGACAGATAGAGAGCATTTGAAATACTTATCACACCCATTTTATAACATCTTGATTGAAATCCACCTGATTGAAGATTTTCTGTCAAGCACATATATAGTTTGTTCTTTACAAATATCCCTTAAACTACTAATGTGGTTCATAAAAAGCAGTAGTTTGTTCGGCTTTCGAACCAAAGGCATGTTAGCTTTAATGTAAATGTACAGTGCTGTGAAAAAGCATTTGACTGAAATGCTTTGTTAGTTTTACATCAGATGCAACAGGATACAAACCCTTCAAAAGGTCCACAGAATATTTTCCTAAATGTAATTATTTTGCAGGTTCCACTGCAGTGCTGTGTAGAGTATGACACTTTTCAAATCTCTATTCTCACCCCATTGGTTCCTTCTTGGTAAAGGTCAGGTTACGATTGGGCCTGGCCTGGTTGATGGGGATGGTGCTGCCCTGTAAAAGAACAACATCATGTTGTTTGCATGTATTTGCACATCTGTAACAGATGTATCAGACAAACTGACAACGTGACAGGTGCAGGCTTTTAAGCCAGCTGTCTTACTTGGATCTTGTCACACCAGCCAGCAAAATAGCGGAAAGTCTGGATGGACATGCCCACGTGGGTCTTGAGGGCCAGAGTGTACACAGCTCCAGAGTCAATGGCTTCAATAGTGGCCAGCTCCTCCTGGTGCTCCTCCATCAGGTCAGCCAGCCTGGAGGTGGGTTAACAGCGAAGACATATTATGAAACACAACTTAGACAACAACTTTTCTTCACTAATACTATCAAAGACAAACAAACCTACTGAAGGCATTTACTCCCTTAGAACAAAGATATTAAAGCGGTTCATGCTATGGAGATGCTCACTTTACCGTAAAGAGAAATGGGCCATAAAGCTAAGAAAAAAAAATATGGATGAAGTTTTTTGACACTCCAGGGTCATATATCTGACCTGTAGATGAGTCTTCCTCTGTCCCTTGGGTTCATCTTGCCCCACTCTCCCTCTTCAAAGGCCTCTTTAGCTGCACCCACTGCCCTGTCCACATCACTGATCTGGGCCAGAGACACATCGCAGATGGCCTGCAGGACACACACAGGACAGACAAGGAAATTAAAGATGGCAAACCTCAGTTATAAAGACATGGCCTCCAATCCTGATGAGATCACCTTCAGCAGTGGAAAGAGAACTTCCCTTTTTTGTAGTTTTTCCCCCTAAACTTTGTTAAAATAAGCTTTAAACAGACTGTAGCACAATTTTTGGCCATCATCATTTGTTGGCCACTAAAGACAGGGGATTTTAATATTTGTAACCCGAAAAAGAATCAACAGCTTCAGCTTCCATCATCAGTTGAGAAAAGAAATGGTTGCTTTTCATTATAGATCCCTGCCAGTGTATGACACAGGACACAAAGTTATTACATTACAGAGAAGACATTACTCTATCTAATAAAATATTATATAGGACATGAATTTTGCATTTTTTGTCATTTCTTTTTCTCTCACCGTGCCGTCAGTGGGGTTGATGGTTTTGTAGGTCTTTCCTCCCTCTGCATCAACAAACTCTCCGTTGATGAATAACTGATGAGGCATCTTTATTGTCATGTTGTTTATGTTCTTCTCCACCTGAGCAGGTAAATGATACACATTAACACACGGCTGTTTCCTCTCCACGTATCCATAACTAACAAAGGGAATTTCAAACACTTACATAGTCGACTACCAACTCCTCTTCATCGTCCTCCCCTCTGAGCTTCCTCACACACATTTGGATGAAATCCTGAAAGGTTGTGTTCATGTAGACATCCTCGTTCTGCAGCTGGCAACTGCTGGCTCGAAGTTTCACCTCCTCCACCAGCCTGAAGACAGAGAAGAGGCAAGATGGAAAATGGGGGATAGAAAAGATATGGGGGACAAGAAAAAGAAGAGAAGATTAGGTGAAATAGTGGTAAAAGAAGGAATGCTTGGATTAAAGCACTGATATCAGGTTGTAAAATACTCTTTAAGGAGAAAATGACCTAAACTAAAAACTTACTTAAATAAACCTACACATATAAACCTGCACACATATACATAATATTATTGGATTGTAGCTATCTATGGAGGATTTATGCGTTTAGCCAGGCTTTCTTTGCATTTGCTGGCTTGACAATACCTAAAGCCTCAGTTGTAGATAACGGGTACCACATAATAGACATCGAGCAAAATCCAATGAAATTTGGTGGAGAGGTAGAGCACAAGTGCAGAAAGAATGAGTTACATGTTGATGGAAATTGGTTAAAAAGTATTTTGGACATTAATGAATATGCACAGGCAACCCGCTCAGTGCCTGGTTTCACTGAGTCCAAACAAAACTGAAACTTAAAGCTGCTGCTTGTTTGTTACATAATTCTGTCATTGTTTAATAACTTTAATGTATTAAGATTTGTTCTACACCATAGCGAAATAAACACACTAATTCCAAATTGGTAAGGCCAAAGTTTTGACTGGAACTGTGTGTTACATAAGTGATGAACAATAAAAAGAAAATTGACATGCTTTTGTTTTTTTCCTGTATCACCTGACCACATCCATGGAAGCAGCACCAGATTTGAAAAAATCTGTGGAGTCTTCAATCTGGCTCACATTACTCAGGATACTCTGCCACACTGCCTGGAAGACATGATGTTAAAAGTCAGCACAAAGACAAAATCTAAACTGTCAGCTTAACGTTTTCTTGAATCAGTGGGAGAGGAGGGCCTACCCTCATCTGTACAGCGAAGGTTTTCTCCTCCTCAGTGAGCTCCACAGCAGCACTGCTCCCAGAGCGAAAGTACTGCGCTGCAGCAATCATCTTTCCATCCTCAAACTGCAGATTCTTCACCAGCAGCTGCAGAGAAACACAAAATGCGACACCACCTGTTTCAATCAATGCTGTACTTTGCTAACACTTCAATGTCTCCATTGAGGTCAACAGAATACGTTGAATGGACCACAATTTTAATCAGAATTATGATTTAAACATTTTATTCAATTCTTCTTGTATAACAGGATCCATTAGATTGGATGGGAAGTTTCCATGAAGCACCACCATCACCATGCTGAAGTGCCTCAAACCTCTGCAAGCAGTTTAGTGAAGAAGAGGAATATTTGGCTAGCTTGCCAACTTTGCGTATTGTTATAGCTCTTAAAATCATCATACAGGCACAGGTAAAGTTTATGTATAAAATAAATTATCACTCACACACAGACACACACTCCTATTGCACTTTTTTATATGCCTAAGCTCGTTGTCTAACTTTCAACACACTCCAGTGAATGCATCAGGGACAACTCAGGGTTAATATATTGCTCAAGGACATGTTTTTGTGAATAAATGAATGAGGCAAGTTGTATGAAGAACTTTGAGTGCTCAGGTAGAACAGAAAAGTGCTACACGATTACAATTGGTAGACAACCCACTCTAGTATCTGAGTCAGAGTCATATAGAAAAATAATGATCCTAAAAAATAGTCAGCATTATAATAGGGAATTTCAAGGCAAGTGACTGCAGTGTGTTCTGCAATTCAGACTAAGTAAATGGTAAATGGCCTGCATTTGTATAGCTCAGGACAGGGATAGCTCAGTAGGTAGAGTGGTGGCCCCATGATCAGAAGGTCGGTGGTTCGACTCCACTGAACGGCTACCCTGAGGTACCCCTGAGCAAGGTACCGTCCCTACACACTGCTCCCCGGGCGCTGCATTGGTGGCTGCCCACTGCTTCACTGGGTGAATGGGTTAAATGCAGAGGAACTATTTCCCTACGGGGACTAACATGCACACTTTACACCTTTGTATAGCGCTTTATTCAGTCCCTAAGGACCCCAAAGTGCTTTACACAACATTCAGTCATTCACACATTCACACACTGGTGATGGCAGCTACATTGTAGCCACAGCTGCCCTGGGGCGCACTGACAGAGGCGAGGCTGCCGGACACTGGCGCCACCAGTAGGCAAACACGGGATTAGTATCTTGCCCGAGGATATTTGCCTCCTGGCATCCAGCCAGGAGTGGCCATGATTAGTGGCTGACCTGCTCTGCCACCTGAGCTACAGCAAAGTCCAATGCTTCATCAGTGATCTATGCAATGCAGTTTTTTTTAAGTTAGCAACATTTTTATTGAAAGAAAAATAACAAAATTAAACAAGAACTCTGACTAAACAACTTATTTTCTGCCTAATTTACTTTTTTGTCAATTCCATGTTTTGAAAGTCCTCACAAAGGCCAAGTAACAAAACCCCAAGTTGCTCTTCAAAGCATCCACTGGAGCGTGAATGTTAGCTGGAAACTACTTAAGCAGAAAAATCAGAGATCCCAACACCGATTTTATTTTAGTCAGCAAATAAAAATGGTCAACTTTTCTATCAGTGAATGACTGAATTAATGAAGACAAATGAACGAGAATGAATGAGAGTTCAGCTCGTGCAGTCAGTTTTACCACTGACTAGTTTAATCCGAGCCTAAATGTGCCTAGAGAGCATTTCCATGCATGTTGACGGTACAGTGTCCTACAAAGTCCAGTGCTCTAGAGGGCGCTGTGACCCCTGTTACACACTGCATAGACGGTCACACATCCATAGGTAGCAAGCAGGGTGAGCTGAAAATAACGGAGAAGCCTTACAATGGCCACAGCTACCCTTCAGACATTTAACGTGTTCCTGACGGAAAGACTAACCGCAGCTGCGGTGGACATCTACGGATTCGTTGAGAAGACCCTGGTAGAGTACCAGGAGGAGGTGTACCGAGCCAAGCTGGAGAACCAGAGGCTGCAGCGGCTGCTGGACCTCGTCTACAAACCAGAGATAAGGCTGCACAGGGCAGGTATGTACCCCAGGTTACTTCAGCCAGTTAGCATCTTATTAATAACCCAATAAGTGATTCAGCGACGTCGGACAGAAAGTTACATTTATAGTCACAGCATTTAGCTAGCAACATTAGCAAGCAGTGTTAGCCATATAGTAAAGGAGCGTTAAATTTCCGGTGAGCTTATTTCCAATGTCCTCAAATAAAACAGTACAGTAAGGATGCTGTTTATCGATACATGAGTTCAAATGACAGTCAAACTGCGGCAGGTCGCACTTATCATATCAAAGAGGACCGTCGTTCATTGTGGTTACTCTGATCTCAGCGTGTGCGCGTTAGGACGCAACTTAAATCCTCCTTTTATAGTTGAGCTACATGACCGCCGGAGACACTGCACCCTTTGAGCCAATCAGCCCGCGAGTTTAACACTTGTTCTTAACATTGTTTGGTGTAGTGAACACATCTGTATATAATTATAGATACGGACAAGCTGTTTTGAAGCTACGTACAGTATGTAATATGTGATATATATATATATAATATATATATATATATATATATATATATATATATATATATATATATATATATATATATATACATACATATCATATATTACATAATATAATTAAAATAATATATATATATATATATATATATATATATATATATATATATATATATATATATAATTAGGCCTAGATTAAATTATATACATACACACATGTCATAAGCTGTTTTGTATTATTTATGAAAACGTCTTGTACAGGAGTGTCAGTTGTGCTCTGTACAGGAGTTCTAGTGTAACTGGTTTTCATGTTAACTGGTGAGTTTTCTTCATGTTGTCCAGATGTTGCATCTGCAGGTTCCCTTTACCACAACTAGTCTGCACTGCCCGACAGTGTGCCTTCAACTTCGATTAAATATTATAAATATCACCAAGTTCAGATATTTATGTGTGAATATTATCTTCAGATAACAATCCAAATTATTCTGATCAAAGGTAATTGTAATAAATTGAAAAAAAAAAGCAGCACTCAGACAGGACTCGTACTTGTATGTTTCTGTTACATACATCAAAAGCGATCTGACCACCGATCAGTTCGATGTAAACACCTGTGTTACCTTCCTATTTAACGAATGTGAAATGATGATTGTAACATTTTAACACACTTTGCAGGATGTGACATCATGGCATTGTTTTGTATAAACTCTCAACTCATACAAGCTGGTGAAAGCTTATGTTTGCCCTAAGAATCACTTTTAGTACGTCTATTACTCTCTTGTTTTTGGATGGATCCAGTAAGAAAGTATCGGGATTATAATGTTGATACATTTGTAAAAATGAAACAAAAATTAAAATGTAAATATTTATTTTGTAAATGTTACAATAATGCTAGTGAACAAGGGCTGCAACGATTTATCGAGTATTTAGAATGATTCGGTTGTTAAAAAAAAAAATCTTGATACAAATTATTTGATTCGATGCTTCACTTAAGGAACGGCTCTGTAGCGCGCCATTGTCACCATGGAAACACGAACGCGAGCGTTTCACCCACATTAGCGGCTAAAAACAGACCTGCGATACAAACGTATTTAGGTGAAGGGTGTGGATTATAAGTCTGACAACATTAAGCCCACGCAGGGGTCCAGTTTGAAACAAAAACACTGAGAACACAACAGCAGCAGTGATGATGACCCTGGCACCGTTAAACGTGGAGCCCGAGCCTGTTTACACACCGCGAAGAGCAAAGAGGCGGAGCGGTTACCGAGACGGTGAGCTCGGGTTGAGTGATAGAAAACAGCGGCGCTGTTCCTGTGATCACCATTAAAACCTTTACTGGGAAAAGCGAGCGAGTCCTTCATCAGAGCTCCTGGTTAACAAACTCAGAGGTGAAGAGAAACACATTTTGTAGCTGCTCCATCCTTCACCGTTTGTTTTACACAGAGAGAAATCTGCAGTAAGTCTTCAGAAGTTGTATTAAAATATGCAGATGAACTGTGAACTCGGTGTGCTACATGTTTAATTATACAGCTTGTTGAATATGGCGTTATTTTTGTGCCACTATTATGAGCCACTATTCAAAAAAAACTTGGGTGCACGTAAAAAAAAAATTTGCAGGTGCAAGTGTTGCATTTTCAGGAGAAGTTTATTTTGAGCGAAGAAAAGCTAAATTTGAGTGAACAAAATTAATTGCTGTGTGCAAAAAATGTATTTCAGTGTTTGCTATTATCCATATATGGATAATAGCAAACACTGAAATACATTGTTTAATACACTGAAATAGGAGAACATCCGAAAACATTAGAGCACTTTTTCAAATATGTGATGTCTTGATAAATCGAGCAGATATTTGAAGTTTACACAGCACCATTCTCGCATGAAAATATATTAAAAGTTTATTTTGTGACCCAGAAAGAGTAATATTTCAAACTCCGACAATACTTACATATATGTGTAAAAAAATGTATGAGCTGTGATAACTGTGTCTGATAGAATGAAGAGTAGACTGATATATGAAATATTCCTTTATTGGGTGAGAAAATCAGACCATGTCATAACTGCTGTAAGTCACACAGAATAGATATCAGAGCCTTAAACAGGCTGACTTCTGCTAAATGGGTCAAACTGGGCAGAAAGTCTACAAACACATAACATCCTTATAGAATATGATGTAACACTATAGATCAACTTAGCTCAGAATATATAAAGCATATAAACAATTACAGCAATATGATGCAACAAACACAGCAGCTACTGATCCAAAATACTCAAAGCTTCATAGAACTGAAACAAACATTTATTTTTAGCTCCATTCTGCTGCTGATACAGACTTTAGGTTTCTGAACATTAAACTTGTTGCTGCCTTTCATAGTGTGTAACTTGAAGGCCCTGAGTACTTTCTCCCACACTGAAAACACTGGAATGATAAAATTATTTGAACATTACCTAATAAGACTGATTCAGCACAGACAGTTATGTTAAACTTTCCTAGCAGTCCTTCACAAACAGGGAACAGTCTGTCTATTCTCTCCATCTGTCAGC